TCAAGTATTATTTTGTCATGATTTACCACTAATTTAACGGCTATGATTGATTAAATTAAGACAATCAATGCTTAAATGGTATTTATCGATTTTAAATCAGTGGATGGCTTGCCAACGAAGTGACAGGACCAACATTATTGCGAGATCACGTCATACCATGTGACTAGGCGTATATCGGGAAGGTCATACAAAGAGGATTGCTTGTTCTTATGTGTAATGGAATTGCCTAAAAGATTGAATTCGCGTGAATATTTCTGCAAAGGGCAATAAATAATTAAGGGAATCATATGTTAGTATTGAACTTCCTCTTTGGTTTTGCTATTACTCGTTTTATTGATAAATGAATCGTGGCTCAATACTGTATTTGCAGCTCAATGACCATTTGGCTGGATCATTTGTGAATCGATTTGATCAATAAACCTTATGCAGAGTCTATTTTAATTCCATTAAAACTAGCTAAATTTCCATCGTGCTAGCACTATATATCACGCGTGAAACTTACATAAAATTCAAGTTATTGAAACTTACGCAAATGGCTACCATTAAACTTCAGTTGTGATAGTTAAGTCTTGTCCATAGACTTTCTGCTCTGTCGATGGTGCTTATCATATGGCCCGTAATTTTGATGGCCGCCCTAGTCGTGTCAACTTAAGCAAAATTACATGAAATGTTTCGTAACATAACCCTAGGTGCCATAAAAAATACGCGATTTTGATTGGTCAATGACTGTGATCGACGAAATTTTGGCCCGCATTATACATAATTTGGCCCAAATTAATTTTTAGGATTTGTTTGTTCGATAGTAAAATTAGTTCAGAAATATTTTTCACTTAATCGATTTCATTAGTAATTTTTGACCTAAATCTTTGTGCGGCACTTATGTAGGACAATATAGTGACTGCATGGTGATCGGCAAAGTGCGCATTATAAATACATTACAAAATTATTACTATATTGAATGGGTCATCAACTTGGAGATCTTATTGAATAGTTATTATTTTATAACATGAACTAAAATGCTACGTTTATAAACACTGTAGACCAAAAAAAAAAATACATAACTTAAATTGATCGATTAAATACAAGCTGAATCTATAATTTAATCTTCATAAATATTTATTTACTTAATTGCTATGCCTTAATTTTTTAATAAATACAAAACATAAATTTGGTAATTCTGGAACTCTATTGCATTACTTGAAGTGTGCTAGGTTGTGACGCAGCAAAAATTCTTTAATGTTCAGTTGTGTTACGGGTATAGATGCAGACATATGCTAGTGCTGTAACTGATTCTAACGTCAATTAGACATAACTCAAAGACGTGACGATACGTCAAAAAGCCATAACTGGCGTTTGTCGTAACATCTGACATGTGCTTAACACCGACGTGTGTCGTAAAACCTGACGTGTGCCGTAACACCCGACGTGTGCTGTAAAACCTGACGTCTGCTGTAATATTTGGCTCATGCCTTACTTAATATTTGACTTGTGCCGTAACATTTAACATGTGCCGTAAGTATAGTATAGATGCAGACTTATGTTAGTGCCTATAGTTATTAGATGAAACCTTGAGGTTTCGCGCTGATGAAAGTCGAAACCTAGTTTCGACTTTCGTCAACTAAAATCTCAAATGACAAATGTCAAAACTGATGAAAAGTGTCGAAACTGAAAGGTAACGAAACTAGCGGAAGGTGATGAAAGGTAACAAAACTAATAAAATATGAAGAAACAGGTAAATGTTGTTAAACCTATTGAAGATAATGTGAATAAAAAAAATAAATTACAAAAACAGAAATTTAAAAATTACCAAATGTAAGTAAGAACGCCTTGGTTTTCTACATTTTTATGTTCATAAAATGCTAAAATTAAAATATACAATTTATACTTATACTGCATTAATTTTAATAAGAAACAGATAATAAACATACATATTTCAGTATTTCGATTAAAAAATAATTATGTTTATTGGCTAAATTGACTTGAATAAAAAACAAATTAGCACAGACAATAAATTGATAAAGAGATGCATACATTGTCTTCGATCTTTGATTATTGTTATACTTGCCAGTTAAATAAGTTCACTGACAATCACTTAATAGACACCACATTTCACCGACGATTATTTACCAACAAGTTTATTTTACTAGACGTCTATTTCGCAAATTTTAGAATTATTAATTTTAATTATGATGTTAAACTTATTGTTGTGTCTTATAATTTTCTAGTGAAAAATTTTTTGAATCTATAATTTACTAAATTCATACGTCTATATTTATATTTATTTATTTATTTAAATATTAGAGAAATGTTAATGGCTTATTTACCTATTTATAATTTCTGTAATTGGCTTTTTAAAAATTAAATATACAAGTCAGGTCAAGACAATAAAGTCTCAATATAAATCTTTGGTTTTTGTTTAAATATATAAATTTATAGGGTTTATTTATATTAATAGCTTAGCTTTGCCAAAAACATCGGAAGTACCAGAGTTTCTTTAATAACATAGATATTTTTATGACTATTTCTATCGATATATAAGCTATTAGGTTAAGGTCTAATTAGAGATTAGAGAGTGTAAAGTTATTTTCTCTGTTTTTCAATGTTAGTAGATCAAACAATAATTGGCCTGATAAAAAATTTGCCCGAATAAGTTAGTTTCGACATAATATATCAAAAAATTGTTATGTACTGTACGTATATATAATTTAAATCAGATGACAATATAAATATTATAAGACTACATGCGTACGAATATCTTTAGTTGAATACAGAACTATGATACTTTCAAAGAATCTTCACTGGCAAATAATTGAAAAAAAAATTTAAAAGTTTAAAAATTACCAAATACTTAGGTGTTAACGTCAAAACCATCTGCCAATTTTATGTAGAAAAACCACGTTTTTTCGATAAATACGTACTAATCTTGATTTTTGGAATCTCAAGTTACATTTTAAACTAACACTGGTAAAATTTAATAAATTCGCCATGTTGAATGGCAGTTCGAATGGCAGTTTGAGTGACGTTCGAATCCTGCCATTCAACATGGCGAATTTATTAAATTTTACCAGTGTAATTGACAAATTCTTGATTATCCAACCTTTTAATATTAGCACCTATTTGTATAATATATTTATTACAAAAGTTCATTTTATGTCCGGAGCCTTTTTATGTTTCTTGTCAAGATTTACTGGTTGACAAAAACAACCTTTTCCGTAAACTTTCACAAGTATTCAAATAATGTTAAGAGTGTTAATATTATTTATAATGATAAAGTTATCTGTACAACAAGTATGATATGTGTGCTGCAGAGCGAAAACCTGTAACTGATCATAACGATTTACTATGATCAGTTACAGGCTTTTGCTCTGCCGCACTCATATCTGATATTATACATAAAAATATTTATCTTTTATATACCGATCATGCCAAAGTCACTAACTCAATCAGTCGATGGCAAATTTTTTATCAGGTGTTTCAGGAATAGTTTAATACGTAAATATGCTGTAACTTTTTGTATTGCAATAACTTTCTATATTGACGTAACTACTAAAATAAAGTTATGGCAAGTGTCAGTAATTACGGCAAGCGTCAGTAATTACGGCAAACATCAGTGATTACGGCAAACGTCAATAATTACGGCAAACGTCAATAATTACGGCAAATGTCAGTTGTTATGACCTACGTCATTACGACACTTTTGACGTGACGACACGTCAATTGGACGTAACCATACGTCTTCAAATGTCTGCATCTATAGTTACGGGTCAAAAGAAGGTAGTTTATATGGTAAAATTGCTCATTGAAAATTATTTTATTAGAGCAACAAAAGTGGTTTCTTATGTTGAATTTCGAGAAATAAGCGATTTTTGACAAAACAATCGTTTGTTTTGAATTTTTTTGCCCGTGTTACGTTGAGCCTTATCTTGAAATCTGATTCGTAGCTCAGTAAATCTAGCAACAAACCTAGCACACATTCAAGGGGTGCAACTCGATTCACATATGCTGAGTGTTAAATCTTTTTTTTTTTTTTTGATCGCATCTATAGAACAAAAGATTAAAGCCATACCTTATTTATTATACCACTGTGAAAATTGGTGGTTTTGAATATTGTTGATTGAGATTTTATTTCACCCTTGTGTTAAACTTAGCTTAATCTAAAATAACAACTTCTTCAAGGGTATTATTTGGATGTACTGTAAGTCAATTTTCTCGTTTCTTTAATTTCATAATGGAATAAATATTTATGCGATTTAAATATTTATATAATTTGTCCATTACATGTTTATTTGTGTCCACTTTAATGCTTGTATTTTGAATAATTTTGTTTATTGATATTGTCATGGGTAAAATGGATCGTGACCAAAAGATCGTGACCCGACGTAGTACGATTGATCGTACCCCGTACCCAGATCGATGCATGCATTCGTAATTGTTATTGGATGAAACATGCATTATCGTCTCCAATAACTCCTGAACTCTACAATCGCAAGACCAACACATTTACCAAATCGGGCGTGAATCGAATTCACGACAATGAGATTTCAGAATGGAACAATTGGGTAGTAGGAATTGGTGGGAAAAAATTTAGTGAATAGAGAGTATAACCGTTAGTAAAATATTAGATATACGAATGTATAAAGAGACAGGTCAATGTAATACTCTACTTTTCTTTAATAGTGCCGGGAAGGGCTAAAGATCATAATAAAGTAATGGTTATAAATAATAAAGTAGTTAGTGTAGTGTTGAAGAATAAACAGTAAAGTAATTAGTAAAAAAGATACCACCAAATCATAATGCCTCTAATAGAGACAGTCATAATCCAATATTTTACCTTTGTCAATATGATGGCACCTATTTCCCTAAATCGTAGTACTTATTATTATAACTTTTATTTTTTATTCTTTATTTTTATTAGAATTTTAATGACTTTTACCTTTTTATTAATGGTAGGTACATATACCGAAAATACAGTATATCTGGCTAATTGATTCTTAATACTTTTATTTCTCACCACAATATCTACCTAATGATTTACATTTTTCACAAAGGTCTTGTTTATGACCCTTCAATTTTTTTTCACTATGTTCACCGATAAACTGAGTAAATTTTCTCCTATAAAAACTATAAATCAATATTTGTTTAACTCTTTCTTTAAGAAATTTAGTCAACAATTCTTTCTTATCAAATCGAGCAACTTTGCCACATTTTTTACAATTCAAATGATATTGTTTCACTAGTTCTACCTGTCTCCCATTTACTTTTAAATCAGCATTGCATAAGGAGGAAGAAAACTTATTTCCACATTGACAAGATAGCTGCCAATAAAATTTAAGTTCTATCTTACGACCATTTCCTGAGGCTAAAATTTCAGACATATTCACTCTTTCGATTTGGTGAGAATCCTTTAAGTGATTAAGAAATTCCGAAAAGGATTGAAATTCTTGTCTGCATTTACAAAAAAATTTATAATGCACGTAATTACTTCGGGACGTCATTTTCTTCCTTGGTATGTTCGTTAAGAACCGTCAAGATTTTTTCTTGGATAGAAAGAGAAGTTGTTATTCTTCTTGGATTATTAGAAAGTATTGAAAGTTGCCTGGTTAGGAGGAAATGAACGGGAAATTTAAAATACTAAAATCATCATATTTATTTGTGTGAATAACAATTATATTTACAATAACGTATGTACGCACCAGTGAAAATACTAGGGACAATACTTATTTGTGTCCCAGAAAGGAAACTCAAGCAAAAAAGCCAAGTTCGCGAAATTATGGTTAGGACATTAAATTTCGAGGTGATAGAAGTAAATAATCGCCTCCTGTATGTAAAGTTTTATTCCCATCATTTTAATTTACGCCTCAAGACAGATTTAAACACCCAGTTTCTTGTATTTTCTCAATTTTGCGATTTCCGATTAGCCAATTTCCCTTTTAGGTTTGTATAATAATATAAATAAGTGCGCGCACGTATCAGTACTAAAAATTTCATAACGATAACAATCGATCGATCGATTGATAACGATAAAATTGTTATTGTTTCTCAATATGGAAAGGTTTTGATCATTATAAATCATTTGTATGGAACAGTATAGCAGTATATAGCTAACGTTAACAGCATACTATACTGTATTTTTCATTTAATTCTTTTCACATAATTACATTAGCAAAGAACGGCCAGCTCAACATGGCAAAGTTATTAGCTAACCAACACACGTCAGCAATAAGTCATTGAAGAGAATTCCACTAAACCATGATATATTAGACTTTTAATCTAATAAATTTTCCGAAACATTTTAATCATTACCATTGAATTCTAGATCTTCGAAAAGATATTATCGATAGAATACAATAATATCAATTCTTTATAATAGCTTAAAAAGTAATTCAAGCCTTAACGTTAATATGACAATATCTTGAATTTTTTCATTTAAATTCGAAGTTGCCAATTTGTCGTTACACTAATACCAAGCTTAATAAACAAAACGTGACATGGATCTAAAAATAGACAGATGTCAAGTCACATGTAGCCCAATTAGCCAATCAGATCACTTTAATGCCGACAAACGTAAAAAAGCTTTAATAGGATAGATGTAAATATAATCATTTTTTTGATTATGCTTTCTCAATTTATCAACGAACTTTCAAGACTTTTGTTGTATCTTGACTTTTCATTGCAGTATTTCAGCAGTACGATATAACGGCATCTTTGATAATTTATTGCACAAAATAATATGGCAATCAAATTAATCTTGTTAATATCATATTCACCGGTTTGATTTTTTATAATAAATACATAATATTTTTAATCATTTTTGTAATAATAATTTTTGATCTATTTGTCTATTTTAAATAGTTTTATTGCCCAAATGTTCGACGATTCTAACGGGCCTCAAATCATCCAAATATAATTACAGGATCGTGAGTAGTGTTCCAAGCCGATTAGATTTTTAACAGCTTGGCAGCTTAGCCGATGGGTATAGTGCCGATCCAAAAATATGGGTCTATAGTATATTAAAAATTCCTTATATGCTTATCATTAAAAGTTGTATCCAACTAAGATTTCATGACGAAAACTTAGAGGCCGGAAATTGGTTGTTATAGCAAATTTTTGTGCTATTTACGTTTTGTTTCGCAATATTCTGTAATTTATTGGATTCGAATCAAGAATTTCAGAGTCGCAAGTAATCTTCAGCTTGGAATTTCTTAATATAAGGGTACCCAATATAGATTGATATGTAGTTAGCCGGCTAATGAAACTATCAGTCTGCTAAGCGGCTGATTTGAACACTAATCGTGAGATATTCACGTGTCAAATAACGTTAGGAGGTGCGTCACTTTTTGACACGTGAATATCTCAAGATCCCGTGTTTAGATTTGGGCGCCTTAGAATTGTCTCATTTGTTTAAGACAGATCAATATATCAAAGAGTAATTAATATAAAAAACACTGTAATAAAAATTATCGTACGGGTCTTATGTAACAACCCGTGCTTTTTTCGTTTACTTATTGCACGGGTCTATATGAAAATTAAGTGATTTTTAAATTCACATGATTTTCATATAGACCCGTGCAAATACTTTTAAACAGTAATTAACGTATTTTTTAAATTGTAATTAGTAAATTATAATTAGTGTATTTTTTAAATTATAATCAGTGTACTTTTGCAATTTAATAATTGGCTAGGTAATTATATTAATTACATATTTTATTATTGAAAATGAAACAATACATTTTGGCTGATTATTGAAAGAAATCTTCAAATTGAGGTCGATCGGTTTGCTAGCATCAGGAAATTGAATAATAACATTATTCGTAATTTGCTATTATACTTTACGGTCTTTGTTATTTTCAATGGGAAATGATACTTCATCTTTTTCTTCACAGCGTTCGATTATTTAATTATGATGATTGTTTTCTACTAGCGTTTTCACTTGTTGGTTCTGAGATATAGGCATTTGTTGATTCTGATGCCAGGCGTTTGTTAATTTTGAGGTATTTGTTGGCTTTAAGAATGAAATTGAGCTTTCTTAGTGAAAAGTTCAAATTCAGAATCATAAGATTTTTGGTAATAGAAACCTTATCTGGGTTAAAAAAATTATTAAGTATAGTTAATAGATGAATTAAAATAATGTAAATAACTAATTAAAATTACATTGGTGGATATTATAGTAGTATAAATAAAAGATCTTTGATTTTGGTTCAACATAGTATTAGCGCTAGTGCTAAGGCTTTATTACAAATTCATT